TCACAAGTACTGAGAGCAGAATATAGTAGAAGAACTTCACAATGACCCTATGATGGAATTTGATTCAGAAACCCATGTACAAGGTCTAATGCATTTTGTAGAGAAGAATCGCCAGCACATTCCAGCTTGCTCATCAAAGCTTTGATGTGAGACTCAGGAATGGCACCAAGATCTGTCAAACAGTGAGCAACACCATCTTTTATTGTCCACAGGCCAATTTGACCAAGGGGATTCTGGTCAAAAAACTCCCTGATGAAAGCTTCATCATGTTTTGCAACAACAACCATCCGGTTTGGTCGAAAATCTATCTCTGCAGCTGCCCTGGAGAGGTCGATGACAATGTAGAGATAGCGGATGAGGCCCTTTTGAATCCGAGTAGCAGCTGCGGAGGAAGAATGAGAACGAAGGCGCCGGCAGTACTATGCATGGTAAATGGCCTTGCGGGCAATGGGGCGAAGAAAACCTGACTCATCCTCTTGCAGAGACTCCCAGGATCTCTCATCTGCATATGTTCTCTCCCATGCTTCAAGACCGTCCCCGTCATCTTCATCATCATCATCCTCCTCTGCTCCTCTATTCAATCTTTTATCCACTTCTCCTTTGTCTGAATTCGCCTCCTCTTTAGGATTTGCAAAGGCAGATTTCTCATGTTTTCTTTTAAGTTCATCAATATGGATGGTGGGCATAAGACTTTAAAAGGGGAATTGGGCCTAACTTTTCATGGTCTGCTGTTTTGTTGGGTTTTCTTTTTCTTTTTCTTTGTGATTCTTTGGCCCATTTTTCAAATTCAAACCCAGCTGGTTCCTTTTTCATTTTTTTTTTCATTTTTTTTCCATTCTTCAATTCTTCCGTTTACATCTTGATGGCTTTCACTTGTAAATAAATTTTTATCACATAGCATTAAACATATTAGGAAAAATAAAAGATAATAAGATTTAGGAAATTTATTCATTATATAATATTTTTTTATGATTACAATTTGAGTTATGAAACAATTGTACTTAATAAATTATTATTAGTATCTTAATCTTAAGAGAAAGAAAGAAAAAATACGACAAATTTAAAGATAAAATAGAAGTGTTTTAGTGACAAGTCAACTAATTTTAAGGAGATGTGGCAAGGCACGAGCCCTTAACATGATTTGTCACTTGGACATTATTCAATATATAGTAATTAATATCTCATGGTACATTATTTGAGATAGCCTTTCTCCTTGCAGCATTTGATAGCTTCATCAAACATTTCCTCAATCCCATATTTGAATTTAAAGCCACTATCCAAGAGTTTCCTTGATGACAACCCAGGTGACTTATAACCTTCAATTTCTGCTAAAGATCTGCAAAGAAAAAATGCAATGTTTTGCTTTCAAATTTCAACTAAAGATTAACATAAAGCACGAGTTCAAACAAAGAAAATTTTTAATACAGGAAAAAACTCACTCTGGTGAAGGTATTGGGAGTTCAGGATATGTAGAAGAAAGAATTTGAGCCACTTCTGCTAGCGTTATATTGTGGGAGGAACAAACATACCTCCCCGAGGCAGCAGCCTCAGGATGCTCAAGTAGGAAGATGTGAGCCATGGCTACATCGTCAACATGCGCCATGGATGTGTTCAGGAGATAACCGTATTCTTCACGGTTTCCTGAAGAGATTCAGAGTTTCGTGCATCAACATGATATAGTTTTTCCTCTTCAGAGAGTTAATAAAAAGGAAAGAGATCACATTCACTTACCAAAGACCAAAGCCAATGATGTTCGGACAGAGCCTGGCAACTTGGGACAAATGAAAGGACCCACAACAAAGGGGGGGATTAAGGTGACCAAATCCAATCCATGCTGTGCTGCAAAGTCAAGAACCGCCTTCTCTGTTAATGTCTTGGAGATCATGTATGAACTTCCAAAATGTTTCAGATTCAATGCTCTAATATAATCCACATCGCTCCAAAAACTCTCATCCATCACTTTCACATCTTTGCTCTTATTGTTGTGCACAACAGCAGAAGCACTGGAAGTGTAAACAACTCGTCTGACCGTCTTTGATTTCAAGCATGCCTTTAAGATGCCTAGTGTTCCTTCCACTGCCCTGTTCACTATCACTTCGGCTGGTTCCCTGTCTTCAAAATCTATTGGAGTAGCCACGTGAAAAACTCCCTTGCATCCTTCAATGGCTGCATAGAAACTGTCTGGATTGCTGAGATCTGCTTTGAAGATTTTCAGCCTTTCATTTGCACCAGGCAGATTTGTGAGGAAGCTGGTATCTCTTATCTGCTCTGCTCATAATTAAGCCAAAGAGACATAGTATCCAACAATTGATGATAAACAACCCTTGAGCTTTTTCAAATAAAGGAAACTGTAATTGATTATTACCTGGATGAGTTCTGATGGTGGCATGGACACAGTAACCCTGTTGAAGGAGCCTCATGACCAGCCAGGAAGCGATGAAGCCTGTACCGCCGGTTACACACAACGATCCTTTTCCTCCTTCCATTTTTCTTCTCTTTTCACCAGCGAGGATGAGCATCAAACAAAGGCGCCTTGTTTATATCAGCTCTTTATTATTTATCTAACACTTGATTGAAAAGTAGGTAGCTTAGGGCAAATGGATTTTCCTCATCAATTATGAGACGACTTTTGTCCCATCTTCTAACTCACATAGGAGACTTTCTGTGCCACCTTCTAACTAACATGGGAGTCTGGTTTTACTAAGTATGAACTTTGATTCCAGCTACACTTTAGGTAACGAATAATATTTTAATGGAAACGTAACAGCATAAAATTCTTTTATTTCAAAGTGGGTAAATTAGTACCAAACGAACTTCATGCCTAGATGAAAAAGAAAAAGGAAAGGAAACGACTAATTTGTGATAATGCTTTGTGATTTGTCAACTGTCATGGCCCACGAGCAGTTACTTTTGACTTTGTTGCTCATCAACAAAGAGAAGCCACATATTGTATAGCAGTTATATCCTTATTTTAGATAGCCTTTCTCCTTGCAGCATTTGATAGGTTCATCAAACATTTCCTAAATTCCGTACTTAAATTTGAAGCCACTTTCCAATAGTTTCTTCGATGACAACGCTAGTGTCTTATAGCTTTTGATTTCTGCTAAGAAACTGCAAATAAAATTGCAACAATTTGCTTTCAAATTTCAACTTAAAGATAACAAAAAGGCCAAACCCCCTATCTGCATCTGCACATTATTTTTTTTTCTGCAATCAATACTCACAAAAATTTTACTTTCGATTAACACCTTCTATAATTTAATTAAAACCCATTAAAAAAAACCCAAAATTAATAATCAAACCCCCTAAAATTACAAGTACTAAACTTTGTTAGTAATTTGGAGTTTTTTGTGAATTTCAAATTATGAAGGGTGTTAATCGAGAGTGAAAAGTATGGATGATTTTTTAAAAAAATTTTAATTTAAATATTTTAGTTAAATTATATAAATGTGGATAGAATAAAATAATAGTTTTGTATTTTTTGGAAAGCTTTGTGTAGAAACATGCATTGGAGTTAAGGTATTTTATTTGAGGGTTAAATATATAAAAATGTAAGTTTATGTAAAATAATATTAATTGTGATGATGTAATATCAAAATGAACTTTTTGATTGTTCCTCATTGTATATGCTCTAATCCCCCAAATTTTGTTCATAAGAGTTTGGCACTTCTTCTTTTTCTTTTTCTTTCTTTTTTTTTTATTTAATTTAATTTTTTTATTTTAGGTTGCTTAATGAGAATTAACCCCTCTCATTTTTTAACTCACTCCACTTACCTAGCTACCATATGATTTGAACTTTTAAGTTTTTTTACTTTCATTAGAAGGAGATTATTACTAAATCATTTAGATGGTTAAGTTTGCTATTTTTATTTTAAAAGTTGTAAGGTGGTTTTTAAGATGCATTATTGGAGTTTTTTTCCATCTACTGTATCCGCTATGAGTGAGGTATGTATTTTGATGTGTGTAATAATAAACCTTATGATTTTAGTTTTAGTTCAAAAAAAAAAATTATTATTATTAATAGGGTCCCATGTTTTTGCTTCAAATTGCAAATAATGATCATTGAAAATTTTAATCCAATAGGATCCATAAAATATTTTTTCATAATTTAATAATAATAATAAATCTTATGATTTCCAAGAGCAGGTGCATCTTGGAAGGCTAAAAGCAAAAAATGTTGGGATTGGTTTATGCGGTAGAAGTTAATTAGTAGCAGGAATTTTCTACGCATAAAGATCAACAGCATTTGTTGAAGGATAAAGATTTAGATTCAAACACAGATGACAAAGCAAAGCATAGAGACATTGGCTAGTGGAAGTATAAAATTCAAGAAAAGGGGGGGGGGGGTGGTTCACCATTTCTTTCTCCCTTTTTTGGGCAAATTCAAATGCAAAATCACAATAAAACCATATGGTATCTTACGTATGCCATGCATCAGAATTACATACACCCCTGATATTATGAAGGGTAGAAAGGTAATTGTGCATAAAATAATACAGAGCCAACCGTGATTTAGGAAGCAAGGTGCCATGACATGTATCAGTTCGATTCGAGTGGATCGGCGCTATGTTGCTTTACTTTCGGCAACATTTAACGTCTGTTTAAATAAAATTAATAAACAAAAGGAAAGAGAGGGGAGGAGAAGTAAAGGGGAGGAAAAAGTTGGACATTATTCAATGCAAAGTAATTAATATCTTATGGTACATTATTTGAGATAACCCTTCTCCTTGCAGCATTTGATAGCTTCATCAAACATTTCCTCAACCCCATACTTGAATGTAAAGCCACTATCCAAGAGTTTCCTTGATGACAACCCAGGTG